TGGAGCCAGGAGAAGGATATAAACGTGCCATCCATCATGCCAGTCAAAGACTCATTGATCACCTGCCAGCCACTTTGCCAGTAAGTATGTCTTTAGCCCAAACGCATGGTTCAATTCTTAAATTTCCCAAGAAAGTCTCTGAATATAAAGAAATGCTATGAAGATCACAAGGGTTTCAAAAATGACAAAGTTTTTACGTGCCACATAGGGACCAAGGGGCAAGATCCACAAGAAAATAACATAGAAACAGTTTAGAAGGAACTCAAAATAGGTAACTGAGAAACTTTTCATTCTATGAGGAATACAGAAAATAAATTTTAAAAAATTTTATTGTCAGACGCTTCTCTTGCCAGAGAAGTGGTGGATCTAAAGGACAGAATGAGCCATACATTTTTGAATTTGGTCAATATGAGAATTTGTTTTGCATGACTATGCCAGTTAGTTAATAATCACCATGTCAGGAAAGCACACTGCAGGCTGTGGAAATTATAGAATCACCTTTGCAATTTCCCTGCACCCCCATCTACAATCGTGAGGCTAAACCTCTTGGGCTTCAGCAAGGTGTTGGACAGAGAGGCAACTAAGAAGGAAGTTGCTTTGGCCCTCCTCAGTGTTGATAAACTGCTGTCAGGGATTCATCAGGACAGCCCATAGGCCAGTGGGAATCCACCTTGTCTCTGCCCTTGAAAGCAGGGAATAAGTGATCTGAACTGGGGGGACTAAGGCACTTAACATGGAGAAGTGGAGAAAAATGAGGCCAGACTGAAACAGCCTTTTCTTCCTGAGGACAGGGAGCACAGACAACTGAGAGAATTCTGTGGTTTCAGGATCAAGCCAGAAGGTGCAAACTCCTGAACTAGGTGGTCCCCTATCCCAAACCAGGAAACCAACACCTGGGCATTCAATCTACCCTACCTGGTGGGAGCAGTGCAGACTATGAAAGCCTAGTGGACCAACTGATCCAAGACATTGTCTCTTCATAAAACGAGTCTCATTGTATGTCTGTATGATGTAAAAAGTCAGTCCTCAGTTCCCCTAACGTTTCAAAAATTAAAAAAAAATTAAAATACATGTAAAACCAATTTTTGACATTCTTTTTTTTTTAAATTTTGAGTTCCAAATGATATCCCTCCTTGAGAAGGCAAGCAATTTGATATAGATTATACATGTGCAATCATGCGAAACATATTTCCATATTAATCATGTTGTGAAAGAAAACATAACCCCCCCCAAAAAAACCCCAAGAAAAATAAAGTTAAAAAAAATATTCTTTAATTGCATCCAAACTCCATCACGTCTTTCTTTGGAAATAGATAGCATTTTTCATCATAAGTCCTTTGGAATTGTCTTGGATCATTGTATTGCTGAGAATAGCTAAGTCAGTCACAGTTGATCATCCTTATAATATTGCTATTAAAGTATACACTGTGTTCCTGGTTCTGCTCATTTCATTCAGCATCAGTTTATGTTAAGTCTTTCCAGGTTTCTTTCTGAAACCATCCTGCTCGTTATTTCTTATAGCACAATAGTATTCCATCATAATCTCATCCCACAACTTGGTCAGCCATTCCCTAATAGATGGGCATCCCCTCAATTTCCAATTCTTTGCCATCATAAAAGAGCTGCTACAAATATTATTTTAATATAGGTCCTTTTCCTTATTTTTGATGTATTTGGGATTCAGGCTTAATAGTGGTGTTGTTGGGTCAAAGGGTGTGCACAGTTTGATTACCCTTTGGGCATAGTTCCAAATTGTTTTCCATAATGGTTGGATCAGTTCACAATTCCACCAAAGATGCTTTAGTGTCCCAATTTTCCCACATCCCTTCCAACATTTATCATTTTCCTTTTCCGTCATAGTAGCCGATCTGATAGGTGTGAGGTGGTACCTCAGAGTTGTCTTAATTTGCATTTCTAATCAATAGTGATTTAGAGCATTTTTTCATATGATTGTAGATAGCTTTTATTTCTTTGTCTAAAAAACTGCCTGTTTATCTTCTTTTACCATTTATCAATTGGGGAATGACTTGGCATTCTTATAAAATTTGACTCAGTTTTCCATATATTTGAGAAATGAGACCTTTGTCAGAGAAACTTACTGTAAAAATTTTTTAATGGTTATGATTACTAACTAGTTCCCTCCATCCTATTTTTTTTTTTTTTTGCCTTTTTATCCTTCTCTCACCTTTTACCCTGGCCCTCCTCAAAAGTGGTTTGCTTCTGACCACCACCTCCCCCCATCTGCCCTCCCTTCTATTAGCACCCCTCCCCACTTCTCTTATCCCCTTTCCCTCATACTTCCCTGTAGGGTAAGATAGATTTCTATACTCAACTGAGTGTGTATATTATTCCCTCTTTGAGCCAATTCTGATGAGAGTAAGGTTCAAATGTTGTCCTCCACCCCCACCCCTCATTTTCCCCAACAGTGTAAAAGCTTTTTGACACATCTTTCACGTGAGAAAATTTGCCCCATTCTGCTTCACCTTTCTCTCTTTTCCCAGTGCATCTATATCTCACTCCTTAATTTTAATTTTTAAATATCATCCCATCATAGACAACTCACATCCATACCCTCTGTGTATGAATTATTCCTTCTAACTATCCCAATAATGAGAAAGTTCTTACAAGTTACAAGTATCATCTTCCCATTTAGGAAAGTAAACAGTTTAACCTTATTGAATCCTTTATGATTTCTCTTTGTTGTTTATCTTTTGATGCTTCTCTTGAATCTTGTATTTGAAGGTCAGATTTTCTAGTCAGCTCTGGTCTTTTCATCTGGAATGCTTGAAAGTCCTGTATTTCACTGAATATCTATTTTTCCCCCTGAAGGATTATACTCAGTTTTGCTGGGTAGGTGATTCTTGGTTGTAATCCTAGATCATTTGTCCTTCAGAATATCTATTCCAAGCCGTCTGATCGTAGAAGCTGCTAGATCTTGTGTTATCCTGACGTGGCTCTATGATATTTGAATTGTTTCTTTCTGGCTGCTTGAAATATTTTCTCCTTGCCCTGGGAGCTCTGGAATTTGGCTATAATATTCCTGGGAGTTTTCATTTTGGGATCTTTTTCAGAGGGTAATTTCCTGATTCTTTCAATTTCTATTTTTACCCACTATTTCTAGGATATCAGGACAGTTTTCCTTGATAATTTCTTGAAATGTGATGTCTAGGTTCCTATTTTGATCATGGCTTTCAAGTAGTCCAATAATTCTTAAATATCTGCCCTCAATCTATATCCCAGGTCAAATGTTTTTTCCAATGAGATGTTTCATATTTTCTTCTATGTTTTTCATACTTTTGGTTTTGTTTTATTGTTTATTGATATATCATAGAGTCATTTGCTTCCACTTGCCCAATTCAAGTAAAAAAAAAAGATTTTCTTTAGTGAGCCTTTGTATCTCCACCCCACCCATTTTTCTGATTCTACTTTTTGAGGATTTCTTTTCTTCAGTGAATTTTTGTAAATCTTTTTACATTTAGCCATTTCTGTTTCTTTAGTTCTTCTCTTCAGTGGAGTTCTCCTCAGTAGACCTCTTTTACCATTTGCCTATTTTTTTTGTAAATTTGTATTCATTTTAAACTTAAATACAAAATGAGAAAAGAAAAAAAAACCTTTCTATGTACACAGCAGAACATGAGAGGATTCAATATAAAACAATAAACTTCCATTTCAAGAAAACCTCTATAATAAATGCTACACATTGTTTTCAAAGCTACCTAGCTTTTCTTTGCTTCCTTCTAGGTTTGTTTTTTTGTTCTCTGCTGTGCATTTTTCACTTTATTTTTTTCTCCCTCCCTCCAAACCCCCCTCCCCTCTAAAGAAGGCTACAGTTAAACACATAGATATAAACATATACATATATACACATATACACTCATACACATACATGTACGACCATACAATGCCTATTTCCACTTGTCATCTGTTCTTCTGGAGGTAGATTAGCATCTTCCTTTATAGATACAATTTTTTCCTTGTTTTTTTCTAAATCAATCAGCTCATCATTTCCTATACCACAACAATATTCCAACACAATCACATCCTATCTGAGAGATTGTCTGTGAAAGTTTTTCCCCAATTTTATGCATTTCTTCTATCCTTGGCTACACTGGTTTTATTTATATAAGAAATTTTTAATTTAAAAGAACTGAAATTATCCATTTTACATTTCAACTGTGCTCTTGCCTTATAATATAGTTTAAGGTCTGATACTACTGAATCTCCTTCCTTTATGTCTTTTCACCCCTGGTTTCTTTGAAATTCCTGACCTTTTGTTCTTCCAAATAAACTTTGTTGTTATTTTTTCTAACTCAGTAAAATAAAATAATTTTTATTAATTTAATTGGGATGGCATTGAATAAATAGATTAGGTAAAATTATCATTGTTATTATATTGGCTTTACCTACCACCCATGAATAATAACTGTTATTCCAATTATTTAAATCTGACTTTATTCATATAAAAAGTCTTTTATGTTTATGTTCATATAATTCCTGTGTCTGTTTTGGGAGGCATACGCTGAGATATTTTATTCTGTCTAGTTATTTTAAATAGTCTAAAACAATATTGAATACTATTGGTGATACATAGTGTAGTTTCCCTATTTTTCTCTTTTAATTAAATCAGTTTTACCTTTAATTTTGAGATCATGATTACTGCCCCTGCTTTTTTTACATAGTAGATTCTACTCCTGACCTTTATTTTATCTTTGTGTGTATCTCTCATTTTTATTGTTTCCTGAAAGCAACATATTGTTGAATTCAGATTTTTTTATCTGCTATCTGTTTTGTTTTATGGGTAAATTCATCTCATTCACTTTCTAAGCTATAATTACTTGTTTATTTCCCTCTTTTCTATTTTTCCTCACTATTCTTCTCACCTTATTTACCCCATCCCTTC